AAAGAGAACCGTGTAGACACCAGCAGCAGTTCAGCATTAATGTAGGCCCGCATGTTTTGCCACGTCGGCTTACAGGGCAAAGCTGGCACGTGCTGCGCGAGATGTTCTCAGTAACACCTGTCATGACCGATGGACAGGTAGAGGAGGACCCACTGCATGGCCTCCACGCTCACCTGACTTGAATCCTCTGGATGTTTACAACGAAGAGGCATATCACCACCGCAGTGTGGATGCAAATGCCCCGGCATCTTCGCACGGTTGCGGCGGCTCATGATGAGACGTGTCGAGGCCTGCACTGAATCTCACGGAAGGCATTCTGAGCACTTGTTACAAATGCACTCTTTCACCTATAACTCAGAAATAAATATTTCCGACACATGTTGATGTGGACATTTTTTCTTGTCTTGTTATGTGGAACTAGTATCCGAAGTTTCTCAGCACCTTTCAGCTACACCCTGTAGAGTAGTTCGCTTGAAAATAAATAAAATTGTTTGGGGGGGGGAACTCAGATTAAGAGGAAATTGAATTCGGGTAATGTTTGCTACCATTCAGTCCAGGATATTTTGTCTTCTCGTCTGCTGTATAGAAACATAAGAATTTGTTTGTTTGTTTTTTTTTTTAATTTTGCCCGTGGCTCTGTATAAGTGTGAAACCTGCTATCTGACATTAAGGGAGGAACTCAGAGTGAGGGTGTTTGAGAACAGGTTGCTGAGGAGAATATTTGGGAGGAAGAAATATGAAGCGACAGGAGGTTGGAGGAAACTGAGGATAAGCTGGTAAAGCGACAGGAGGTTGGAGGAAACTGCATAATGAGGAGCTGGTGAAGCGACAGGAGGTTGGAGGAAACTGAGGAGGAGCTGGTGAATCGACAGGAGGTTGGAGGAAACTGCATAAGGAGGAGCTGGTTAAGTGACTGGAGGTTGGAGAAACCTGAGGAGCTGATGAAGTGACAGGAAGTTGGAGGGAACTTCATAAGGAAGAGCTTGTGAAGTGACTGGAGGTTAGAGAAAACTGAGGAGGAGCTGGTGAAGCGACAGGAGGTTGGAGGAAACTGATGAGGAGGAGCTGACGAAGTGACAGGAGGTTAGAGAAAACCGAGGAGGAGATTGTGTAGCGATAGGTGGTTGGAGGAAACTGCATAAGGAGGAGCTGGTGAAGTGACTGGAGGTTAGAGAAAACTGAGGAGGAGCTGGTGAAGTGACAGGAGGTTGGAGAAAACTGAGGAGGAGCTGATGAAGTGACAGGAGGTTGGAGAAAACCGAGAAGGACCTGATGAAGTGACAAGAGGTTGCAGAAAACTGAGGAGGACCTGGTGAAGTGACAGAAGGTTGGAGGAAACTGCATAGAGAGGAGCTGGTGAAGTGACAGGAGGTTGCAGGAAACTGCATAGAGAGTAGCTGGTGAAGTGACTGGAGGTTAGAGAAAACTTAGGAGCTGATGAAGTGATAGGAAGTTGGGGGAACTTCATAATAGGAGCTTCATAATTTCTGCCCTTCACCAATTATGGTTTCGGTGATCAAATCAAGAACAAAGAGCTGGACAGAGCTTGCAGTAGGAGAAGCGATATGCATACTTGTTTGGAAAAGCTGACATCCAAAAATATCTTATTAGGCCTAGAAGTAAATAAGAGGATAATTTTAAAATATGTCTTAAGAAATAGATGTGCTGTTGGCGCGCAGTCGGTGTAGCGACTGGCTACGAGCTGGACGACTGAGGGATCGGAGTTCGAGTCAAAAATTTTCTACTTTGCAAATCGTTCAGACCGGCTCTGTGGTCCGCCTAACCTCCTAGCCAATGGATACCGAGGACTTTCTCTGGGTTAAATCGGCCGGGGCTTGAAGCTGACCACATACCTCCAGCTACGGCCGAGGTCAAGAAAATATGGATCTATATATCCACTCCCCCATACGCCTTCATGGCATAGTGCTTACTTCGTTGAGCACAGGGACAGCTTTACCTTACAGAAATAGTGTGAGGGATGTAGCCTGTGTCCCGTCGGCTCAGTAGAAGAGATCAGCAGCAGGACCGTGTGAACATGGCGATGGACCTCCGGGTTCCATAAAAGTCTAGGGTTCGGGGGTCGCTGAGGGAGTACTGGCTTATCAAGGAAAACCCCTACTCCATGGAGATCTTTTGTTTTGGCCGCCGATTTGCCATTTTATTACCCACAATACCCTCATGACGTGCACCCATATCAGTTGAACTCTGTTACGTTTGGACAGTTGTATGAGGGAGTGGTGGCAGTCCCAGCCCAGGTACATATGCGAAGTGCTTTAATTGCAGCTTGACTGTCTGATAGAATGTGCATGTTCCTATTTTGTAGTTCCTGTCTAGATTCTCAACTGCGCATGCCTCAATGGCATACACTTCTGCCTGGAATACTGTTGTGTAGTGCCCAAGGCTAAAACTGTCCCATAGCAGTACACCCCCCAGATCCTGTGCTTTTATTTGTCTTGGAGCCATCTGCCTACCAGATTAGTGCCCCCTTTCTGTTGGGCTGAACCCCTCTTTCCATTCACTCCTATCAGGAAATTTGACCGTGAATGGTTTATCATAGACATGTCCTGGGATCATTTAATCAGTGTCCATCTGTAGATGGGTTCTTCTTTCATGCCCCGAGTCATGTATGCGTGTCCAAAACTTTCAGATTTCGGTTTCTGTTGATCACTGCAGTAGAGTCTGTAAATTCCTGCTCTGGCCTTAGCCTCCATCTGCACGTGTAGTGGGGGGAGTCCAAGGAGGACTTTAATTGCAGCTGTGCGTTGTGTCTCTTCTGTAAGCACATGCAATAAGCACGTCTCCAAAATCAAGTAACACTGTGTAATTGTCTTACCCATCAGTAGAACGTAATTGGCCAAGCTCAGTGACTGAAACGAAGTATAACCGATGCTACCATTTCACTTGACTTCATTGCACTACTCTGGCTATACCAGAGAGAGAAGAAGCTGACTGTGGTGGTACTGTTTACCGTTTTAGAGTTGGTTGTCTTAGCACGGACAAGATTTACCTTATGACTACAAGACATCGAAGTTTGCCTTACTGAAAGCCAATAGGCATCCATTTAGTATTTGCAGACATAAGTTCACCTTCTTAACAAACATTTTTAGGCACCTGAAAGACGTAAATAGTAAGCAGCAGGAGACTTTACAACTTGTAAATGCAGTATACAACAAAGTATCTGCTTCAGAATGAAATTATTCGTACCTCATTCACAGCTTTTGAATATTACGAGGGAGAGTCAATGAATAGGACACGAATGGAAGTAAAAGAGCTTTAATGGACGTAATAGGTTTCCTGTATGAATCGCTAGGTATCATCACAGTCCAGATTCATTACAGTATAGGTACCAGACGCGCATGCGCATGCTCATAGGCTGGTTTCAGTAGTCAAAATGGTGACCGTACTTGAGATGTGTACTACCGAAAAACAGCGCTCCTTTGTGCGTTATTTGTGGGCAAAAGGACTCTGTGCAAACGATATTCGTAAATAAATATTCTGTTTACTGTGGGAAGTGCTGTCGCGTAAATCGTTTCACAACTTGACGGCAAATTTTCGCTAATGTCGAAGGTGTTGAAATGGAGGTGGGAAAGTGGCTGGGACAACAGTCTAAAGACTTCTGTGCTGCGGGTTTCGACGCACTGGTGAAACGATAGAAGAGATGTATCATTGTTTGTGGAGGACATGAGTAGAAGTAAACGTTTTTCCAGTTTCGAATATCACATGTTTTACGGTTTATATCCATTTGTGACCTATTTACTGACTCTCCCTCGTAACCATTGCTACTTCCTACACAATTGGAAAATATTTCAGGTGTGCTAGACGAATAATTTTCGGTGCGTCAGGCTCACTGAACAGTTACAGCAATCAATTTCAGACGGAGTTATGGTATTCCATAAGGAAACGGCAATGTTCAGACTTTTCTAACAATTCTGAAGCATTATATTAAGTTTCTGAAATGTCCTCAAAACATGAAGCAATCGCAAATTAAAAGAAACACAAATTTGCGGACGTTAACAAGTGTCTTCATAAAGAGGAGTGCAGGAATCTGCTATAGATGTCACCTCTGTGTTGTGAAATCCTCTTCCGAAGCATTTACATTTGTGAATAAATTTTCTCGTTGATAAAGCTGAACAAATCGGCACAGAGGACTCGGCTGACATCCGATATCATGTCAACCTTTCGACTACCTACAGGGAGAAACACGCCTCACATTAATCTCTTGGCATCTGCTTTGCAGGCCACAGTATTAAGTCTGTACATTGTAATTACTTATAAACAGTCCAAAAGTTTTATTTACATTAATACTCATTTACATTAATCTTTATTTACATTAACTTTTCAAATACAATTTTATATAGATAAATACTTCCAACATTTTTTTGTGCTCTCGCTACAAAAGCAAATCAAATACTCATAATATTAATAACAAAATTTCCATTATTGTGTGTAAACTCTTAAATTATGCAGTCCTTAAGTCAAAGATCGGTCTGACAATGTGACCCTTTGCAAGAGAAATTTCGCGCAACACTGGCCTATATTTACATTTTTCACCTCACAGGAATTCTTCAGTTTGTGAGACTTGAGGTTCTCATGGTGGTGATTGTTACGACTAATACCTTTGGGTTGCGACGCCGTGTAGCCAGGTAGATTGTTCCAAACATTTTGAAGGAATCTGCTACTTCCGTCGACTTCAGGGTAATCCCAGAGTTGAAAGAGTGGTACGGGCATCGGGGAGGGGCTCAGGATTGGAGAGCTAAGAGGGCCAATGAGTGGAACGAGAGCAGAGCGAGCGAGCCAGTGAGTGAAAAGGGAGCTGAGCGGGCCAGTGTGTGGAAGGAGTGACTCAGCCACTGTCTCCCTAAAATCTCGTTCCCGCTTTCCCTCTGCTTCTTGTTTTGGTAACTCAGCTCCCGTTTCTTATATTCACCCTGACCTTCGAAAATGCCCCTGTACACTCTTTTCCATTTTCATGTTTGTTACCGAGGGCCATAGTTACTGTCGTTTCCCGCCATGCATCTGTATCATCCTTGTGATGCTTGGCTTGTTCGGTTACTCTGAAGACGGACGCAGCAACCTTCTCCGAAAAATAGGTAACTACCAACCTGGCCACACGGTGTTGCATCACATAAGACAAGTAGTCGCTCTTAATTTTCACTGTAGACTTTTTATTGTAATGAGATAATTTCCTAAAAACGTAGCCAATTTTGTCGTTCATAACTCCAGTTTAACGTTTGGCGAATTGCTGAATACGAAGTCAGCGAGTTTATTTCCTTTGAGTGGGCTCGGTAACATGAGCACTGCGGCTGGCCCCATTCGCGATTCCTATCGTCACTTTGGTCATTAGTACCCCGAAAGATTAAGACCTGAATCTCTCAGAATTACTGGATTTTTGGATTTTGTCCATCGTCTGGCATTCTAAAAACTGGAGGAAACAACATTTCGAAAACTGGACCTGTTCCCTTTCTCAAGTGAGTGGGGAGACACCTGATCTTACAAGAAGCGAACCCCAATCACTGGACAGACTATGTCAGCATAAATACCTGAAGCCATACCTGGTCTCAGGTATCTTCAAGCTGTAGTTACACTGACATGTGTTGTTCAGTGATTGAGGCCGAACAGAGCGAGTGTCTCCACACTCACCTGAGGAAGGAAACAGATCCAGTTACCGAAACGTTATTCTCCAGTTTATTTTAGAATATGAGACGATGGACAGCGTTCAGGAACCCCAGCAATTCTCAGTGTTATACACCCTTTGGGATCTGAAACCAGAATTCTCGTACATTACTCATTTTCTCTGATTTTATGTTCGTGACGACGTTTCGGAGGTTGGAGTCTGTGTCCTACAGGTAAAACACAAACTCTGTTCAGCCCAAACGACAGAGCCGGTCTCTGTAACCCTGGGTCCGGAGACAGAGCCTAGTTCCGTCGAATTGTCCAAACAGAGTTTTTACCTGAGGACTGAGATGTAATATGATCTCCGAAACGTAGTTTAGAATGAAAATGTGTGATTATGGATAATTCTCGGAAGTCTAGTAATTTCCCATGAAAGACTAGCTTACAGAAGCTTTCAGAGTTCTGAGGATTCTGTTTTGCGTTTGGGTTTCTGGACAGTCCATTCTCTTGAACACAACGGCTCTTCAGTGAGTAAGGCTGGGGTGCTGTGGCGATCTCTAAGTGTAGAGATTAGTGACAGCGCTGTAATTCTTGTAGTGCCGAGGGATGTGTATAGGTGGGCAATAAATCCAATATCAAATTCGTACCCCGTGTATAGTCACACTCCTAAATACGTAACAATATACAGATATTTTCGCATTTGCGCAGTAATTGTCACTGAGCTGCGGCTCATCTGTGTTGGAGCTGAATACTGTGTAACGGAAACAAACTTTCTGTGTCACAGCCTCCGGTGACAGCAATACTTAACGGACAGCATGAGACTTCGCGGGCGTATTTCCTTATTCTGTCAAAGTGTCCACTACACATTGTCACATTCTTTCAAAACGAGAGCTGATTGCTATGTCTGCTTAGCCAGACCATTTACCAACACAATACGGACCCTGGAGGGACAGTCTGCCTGCTGAAACAAACTAACAACAGAAGAAGGGGGAGGAGACGTGAATTGTCCTTTTTTAAGGATTTGTTCAACATTTCTCAGGACATAGATATTGCCTCCTTCCCTTCATTCCGTCTGTTCACTTTTCCAGAAATTGTAGTCACCATATTTACGTTTAATCTCATTCCTAGTGATGGATGGTTTTGACCCTAACTCTCCAAACTGCAATATGTGCTTAGTTCACTGCCAACCACGAGACAATTTTCCCACGGTTCAGTGTGAAGAGACTCAGGGTACATCTTGTAGTGTCTGCAACGGGATTCCCGAAGCGGTAATTTGTTCGTGATGGTTGGCCGCACTGTTCGGTTGCTGCATATCCAGGGTGACAAATCCTGATGCTTGAGTATCAGTCTCATTTATCCGCTTCCCCGTCGTTGCAAGGAACGGAACCTTCTGTTCCTGTTGCTGTTGTCCTTGTTGCTGTTGCTGTTGTTGCTGTTGCTGCTGTTGATTTTGCAGATGCAGCAGTTTCTCCTTCCTCTTGTTCTGCAAAAAGAAGAATCATTGCTCTCAGAAACAGAGCCAGACCAACCCAGTCCATACCACCCCATCCTATCTCCCTAAGATCCAATTTAATATTACCCACCCACCTGTCTTGGTCTTCCTAATGGTCTCTTTCTGGCTTACCCACCAATATCCTATATGAATTCCTCTTCACCCTATTCGTTCTACATACCCTGCCTACCTAATTCTCCTTGACTTGATCATTCTAATTATACTTAGATAACAGCACAAGTTATGCAGAGCGCTTTGTGTTGCTGTACACAGTGGGGCCTCGACACTATAGACATTGAAACCACGTCCTCATAGATTTGATGAGAAGAAATACCAAGACACGAACCATTGGTTCTAGTGTAAACAAACAGTTTTTGTAACTTTACCTTTAAATACTTGACTGTGCAAATAAATTAGTTATAATAACTCATAAATGTTCCAACAACCTTATGTACTCATGCTGTTTCAGGGTATAATTTTTATATACGTTATTAATGACATTGTAATAATGGTTTCCTAAGAGTTGATTACGTCCTTCTGAAGATGCTCAATCCGACCGAAATGAAGAATTGAACTGGCACCGGATGGTGTTGCAGTGTTGCAATTCATTTTATAATAGTGAGAACCTCAGATACAACAGTGGTCACCGTGTTACCATGGCAAAATTGTTGTTGCGCAGTCACCCCTCTGCTCTCCACTGACCTGGAAGAAGAGGCGCAGGTAGTAACATGGGAAAACGACGCATTTTCCGCCCTCCTCTTCTGCGTCTATGTAGACCCCTCGCACCAGGATAGAGTTGGAGCAATTGATGAGCACCAGAAAGAGGAGACACCCCGCGTGGGTTATCCAGTAACTCGCTTCGGGGTTGCCTGTGCACACGAACAGCCACACACGTCACTTTCAGTGGCTCACCTAAATTATTGGCCTCTCTCTCTCTCTCTGCGTAAAGTTCTTGTAACATATAAACTGCTGAAATTGCAGTTTATGGTTAGCACAGCAAAGAACTGCTCAGCGTTGACCCGTAGTAGGTCACGAAAGAGCGAGTAGTTTTTTTTTTTTCAGCGTATCAGGTCTGTTCTCTGAGTACTGAAAATACTTTGATGTGGATTTGTGTGCACGAGGTGAAAGTAGATCTCTAATTTGCTCACAGAAAATATGGACTGAGGATTTCTGAGAAGAAGAGATGAGGTGAGTGTCCGGACATGAAAGAGCGGAAATAATGGGAGGCTGGAAGGGAAACTGGAATCGAGGAGCTCCATAATTCGTGCCAAATATTATTAAATTATTCAAATTAATTTTCGGCGTGAGCTGGATGGGACAATTAGCGAAGTTGAGGAATCTGGGATATGCTAACGAAAGTTTAGTTAGAACAGTTGAAGGGTGGTGATAAATTGGGAGGCTTGAATAAAGCAGTCTTCTGGGATATGGCGCCGTGNGGAAGCCTGTTTTCTTCAGTTACCGCCGTGAAAACCTCAAATCTTACATAATTATGAGACTTATTTGTCAAATTTTAAGAGCCAGCAGCCTCAGCGTAACTGGCAGCATTTCAGTGACTGAGACCCAACTAGGCCAGTGTCCTCACAGGAACACTCATTTAACTGTCGTCATTACGACTCGTACTCGATCTCTTCAAATTTCTTGCTTCTCTACTCAGGTTACCTGGCAGGAAATAGATGTTCAGTAGCATCCAGATTCCTCTCCAAACATTCACGGTGCCGCAGAAAGAGAAAAATAAATAGACATCGACAACGCAGACTCTCCAGAAGCCCTCCAGACGTCCACAGAGGCTCTTGAGTGGAGTCTGCAGGCTGAAGGTGAGGAGCACGATAGCATAACCCAGGCCCTGCAAACCAGAAACAGAATTATGCAGTGTTTCTCTTTCGTCCGACAGAGGTTACTAGTTACAGTGGATGCGACGAAGCGCAGTCTGGTGGATAGTTACAAAAACTCGGATGAACTTGAGTGAGAGCTGCTTCTGAAAATGGAGCTCCTCACTAAAGTTAGTATCTATCTACCACACTACACGGTGTCAGTCCCGAGAAATTCATTAAATTTTTTTCAAGATTCAGATGTCTTGTACTGCGCCTAAATCTTACTAATGATTCTGAAGTCCTTGTGGAGTTCAAGTGTACTACAGTCTTCTGCACGAGTCAGCGGTGCCTTAGAAGCCTTCAGTACTTCAGACTACATGGCGTGGAAAGGCAGAATGATTACTGAAGAATGAATGGAAGTGTTGTGGGGGCTGATGGTCATGCTCTAATTTGAAGTTCCAGTACTGTCCAAATAAATTCGTGGATGTGCCCAGTAAAATAATAATTTAATGACGTTGCCAATTTCCGGGCTGAGATTTGAGCCCAGGACTTCCGAAATAAGAAGTACGGTTTGCTGAACACTAGACGGTTCTGTTGATATGACTTTAAGTGGCCAATGAGGGAGAGCGTATAGCGAAACGAAGCTGTAGAACACGTGTATCTCACGGTTGGAAGCCCTCAGTGTTGCTCAGTGTGACAGTGGCTCTGAATGACCCAAGTATTTTCCTACAATAAAACCCCCGTTCTCTTACTTCATGTATTTCTGTGTTGCAAATTCAGTTTGTTGGAAACAAGGGTTCCTACTCGTCTCTACTGAAGACAGTGGCGCTCTATCGTGCTACATCCGCACTACTGGAAATCATGATCGATCTAAGGCATGAAATATCTTCGCCCTCTCAAACACTGGGATCGTGGGTTCGAATCCAACTTAAGGTATAAATGTCTGTGTGCGTTTATTCTGTTTTTGTGCTGTTCTGTGTTCAGATAGCGGCCTAGTTACAAGCTGAACCCTCGTCCAAGGAGTCCCACCGACTGTGTAAAAAATGAAGGAACTAAAAAAGCGGCCAAAGGCCAACAAAAGGCTGTAGAGCCTAGGTACATTAGATAGATTTTTTTATTGCTAGTGGGGTGGGACTAAGTCCCTTGTACTGCGGCCACTTCTGGCCTGTTGTACCAGCCCCAGATGATAGGTGAGGGTGATTGTGGAGCAATTGGTGGAATGAAGATTGGCAGGGGAAACCGAAGTACTCGGAGAAAACGTGCCCCAGCGCCACTTTGTCCACCACAAATCCCACTTGACCAGACCCGGTAGACAGATAGATAGGTAGATAGATAGATAGATAGATAGATAGATAGATAGATAGATAGATAGATGGTTGAAATTATGCCCAGAAAAGAATCGATAAGCAGTTCAGTTATGAATTTAGATTTCTTGGTAACCTCACTGCACGGACTGCAGCACTTGATTTGGAGACAGGCTGTGCCAGTTTCTCCGTAACGAAGCACAGAATTCTGTGCCATTAAATCAACAGAAAAGATACAGACTAACTTTCGCTTCACAACGAATTCTAAAAGAACACTTGACAATTTCTTCTGTATATATTTTAGTTTCTTTGAGTGTTGTGAGACTTGGTGCGTCGGCCACTATTCGGTCTACTGTGCCAGCCGCGGATGATAAAGCAACAACACACATGTTTCGAAATCTGAGGAGAATTCTGCATCTTGTAGCTGCCGGACTGGAAAATCCTGCAGCCGGCCATCAAGCCACATGTTGTTGTGTAGCAAATGCTGAGATGTTCCCTTGCACGAGGACCTCCCCGATTTGAATACTCCAAAACCAAACCGTTTCCTTCGAAGCCCTTAAATTTCTTTTAAGGGACGAGAGTCCCCAGGGCCAACCGGGCGGGAGCCTCTTCAGACAAATGCCAATCAGGGCGACCGATCCAAGACAGAGTCGAGTCAGTTGCTTCTTCAAGGCAATGATACGAACTGCCCTTGGCACGATTCGTCTCAAACTGTGCGTCATTAGTACAGGAAATTGAGGCTAAGTCTCTTTATTTGATAATCGCCACATTGTCCAAGTGAGCAAGCAAGGTCTCCCAGCCTGCACGTCTGGTATCGGTAGAATTGACCGCACGTAACAACACAAGACGTTTGCAAGAAAAATACAGACATTAATAAGGACAACGAATTAGGTGTTTTACATTTCAGTTCTGAAGTTGCATTTCCTGCTTTAGGGGCGCGATATTTGTCCATTCTTGCTTCATTTAAGGACGCTTTCAGCTATTCGCATTATATGGCGCCAAAATGGTTTGATAATGAGTGCTGAACTGGTCTTAGCCTGATTTAAGGCAAAATCCCGGTATATATATGCAGTGACTGAGGAAGACAACGAATAATTTCAGTCAGAATAACTAGTTTCCAGGACGAGTTTTGAAACTGGGAGCCTCCGAATGTGAAACATGAGTTGGATTTGAAGTCATCACAGAGGTGGCTGGATTTTACCGACGTTTCGGAGAAATATACTGTCATGTAGTATGTGTGACTACGAACGGGGTTTGGGTTGGTAAATAGAATTTTAAACCACTTACAGAGCGTAACTACAAATGCATATAACACTCTCTGCTATATCCACATACTACAGTTCACTATAGCACACAGTCTAGTGTTCTTATTCTGTTAGTAGACGTTTCCTGTTAGCGGCTCCAACAGTGGCTATTTCTCTGCATCCGGGGTCGACTCCTCTCTTCACAGACTCCCGTACAGAACTCGCTAAGCGCTAACCTTGTCCCTTGCTTATAACATCTCGACACGGTCTACATAAAGAACATAGCTCTTCCATTCTTTAGTCTAACTGTTGCATTATGAAGATACTGCTACCTAGCAACGGGCGGTGTTCCGATGTTTGTTTCGCGGGAACGTGTTTACCGAGACGCGGCCCCGGAATATCCGTCAATCTCACGGTCGTTGCTTAGCGACGGCTCTGAACGCTACAATATGCTCCAGGGCAAGCACATAGGGCGCTTGTGGATGTGGTTACCGACTGTTAGCTCCTTTACAAGGATGGACTTAGGTCCGTAACGATAGACAATATAGCATTTTGATGAAATGCAGACAGTTTGGATATTACAAGAAGAATATTGGCACTTACACGTGATTTGAGATACGGTATTGGACATTAAGGAGACCTGGTCCTGGGATGTGACCTCACTGACTGAAGCAGCACTCTCCTCCCAAAAGTTGACATTTTTATATTAAACTATACGGCGTCACATCACGGAAGACAAAATGTAATGTCTGTGTTTTCTTCATAAACCTTTGATATACTGTTGAAATGCAAACACAGTGAATGGAATAAAGCCTACTGTGTTTGCAGAGTTTAACGAATCCGTCGTAAATATTTCGTGTGAGCACTTTCAGAGTTGCGTGGCCGTCTGTTGGTGCGCATGAAGCAACTCCAGAATTGCGAAACGGATCTTAATGAAATTTGGTATGTTTTGCTGATATTTGTGGGTAAGCTAATAGTAATAATATAATAGTAATAGTAATAGTAGTAGTGGGTCTGGAACGGGGTCCACTCAGCCTCGTGATATTAACTGAGGAGCTATTTCAAGGAAATAGCGGCTCCGGTCTAGAAATCCGAAATTAACGACCGTGGGGATTCGCTGCGCTGACCACGCGACACCATCTGTTCGCAAAAGTTGTCACAAACTTCGTCGACATGCGGCGGTCGCTCGGTCGCTCGGTCGGTATAGTTCGCTTGCGGACTAAAATCACGGAGTTTTTTTCCGTTAGATAGCAGCACAGTCCATCTTCATGACAGTTTAGGTATGAGACGCGTATGCATATGTTCAGAATTTGGCTTCAGTAGTCAAAATGGCAGCCGTACTTGATGTGTGTACAATCGAAGAGCGACGTCCTGTTGTGCGCATTTTTGTGGGAAAATAGGACTCATGGCAAAAGATATTCATAAAGAAATGTTTCCCGTTTACCGAGGGATGTGTTTGTCGCGTAAAGAGGTTCACAACTTGGTGGCAAACGTTGCACTGATGACGAAGAGGTTGAAACGGAGGTGCGGAAGTGGCTGAGACAACAGCCAAAAGACTTCTATGCTGCGGGTTTCGGCGCATGTGTAAAGCGGTGGGACAAGTGTAAGAATGTTGGTGGGGGATATATTGAGAAATAAATGTTGTTTTCCACCCAGATTCCAATATCATATGTTTTACATTTTATATCGATTTATGATCTATTTACTGATTCTTCCTCGTATTTACTACTTGCATGTCACTTTTTTGTAGTTTCTAAAGGGTTCTGACGTCGGTGTATAACGTTCAGGATTACGGAGTCCTTTGGACTTTGTCCATCGTCCGGTATTATAGAAAACAACAGAGCACAACGTTCAATGCAGTGCTTTATCTCAGCTGTTTCCAACGGACCCAACATAATAGTCTCTCATCCCTCGCCTGAGGACCTAAACAGGTCTAGTTTCCGAAACGTTGTGGTGTTTCCTGTTTTCTAGACTACTAGGCCAGGGAAGGCACCCAAAACCCCAGCAATCCCAATCAAATTTCTTGTTCATTCTCTGAAGGGACGCAGTCAACCGCGTGCCACAGAAGGAGGTACTCACCATCGACGTCCACGCTGAGCGGTCCTGGTGGTGCGGGTACAGAAACAGGTCGAGTGTTGTCCAGGCGCCTCGCCAGACGAACACGACGAGGGTGCCCACAATGAGCACGCTGAAGAGACAATCCAGCACGTACAGGGAAGCTTCTCTCGAACCCTGTACGGTAAGAACATGTATTAACTCCACAGTACAGATCGGGCATGTCAAATGCTCAGCTTGTCGAGACGCGAAAACACTTCTCAGATTCGTGTTCACAAAAACAGGCTGAAAACGGTGGAGGGGATACCGTTCCTGCCTCCTGCTCGGGAGAGCCCCGGACACTATTAATTTAACTCTGGCCTCGGGTTCGTTCCCAGGTGACTTCATATGGGTTTCACGGTGGACGAAGTAACAGGGGTTCTCCGAATTTCTTTGGATTTACCTTGATAAGTGCGACACCCCTGCCCAAGCATCCATCGAAATAAAGTCATCCTTGTAACAGGCTGTGGAGGCCCATAGGGTTGTGACACGTCGAGGCGTATACATTTTCTACACAATCATCTAACAGATGAGGTTGTTAGCTTTAGCGCCGGCCGCCATTTACCCCCAGGAAACATCCTGGTGCTTATTTCTGTTAGAGGCTGAGTCAACCCCAAGGCCATAGTGTAGCCACAAGTTTTACGTTAATTGTAAAATCCAATAACATCAACGGGAATCGAGCTCGCGACCTTCCGGCTTGTAGCGTAGTGCCTCTAGTAACTATGCCACCGCATGCCCACGACCAGGCGACCAATGCTGTGTGTGACCCATATTTTACAGTGCCGAATCAATTAATATTCGTGATTAATGAACTGGAAAGGATGCAGAAGAAAGTGGTGTTGCATAATTGAAGGAGTAATCGAGGAGAAGCAGGGAAATTCCCAGTCATGTTAGTTGGTGTGGCCAACAACTGATACGTTTGAGCGTATTTTCTGGGCCAGAATTTCAACTTTGAATTTTTATTTTTACTATGTATTTTTTTTCTATTACTAGTGGGGTGGGACTAAGTCCCGTGTACTGCGGCCACATCTGGCCTATTGTACCAGCCCAAGATGATTGGTGAGGGTGGTTGTGGAGCAATTGGTGGAATGAAGATTGGCAGGGGAAACCGAAGTACTCGGAGAAAACGTGCCCCAGCGCCACTTTGTCCACCACAAATCCAACTTGACAAGACCCGGGATCGAACCCGGGCCGCCGCGGTGGGAAGCCAGCGACTAACCGCTTGAGCTATGGCGTGACCTTTTTACTACGTAACTCCTAACGCCAGGTCTCTCTGATTCACGAACTGAATCCAGTCCAGGGAAATACAGCTTCCATCTCTCAAATTATCTTCTATTCTTAGAAGCAGTTTATTGACCACGGATACTAACATACCAGTCATGGTTCCCTAGGTAGAACACTTTTGCGGTGTTGTTCGTCGTGTGGCAGAACTCCCTAAGTGGAGGATTGCCCATTGGGAACTTCTAAATACACAGGGAAACACAGATAATTGCGTCATGCCGTAGGGGTAGGGATTCGAACCTACGATCCCCATGTTGAGGATGTCTTGAGACATCATGCGCCTTAGACCACGAGGCCGAAAGATAAATTTGAAGCCGATAATTTAGTTTCAAAGTATAGTATAGACGAAAAGCACTGTACTTGTTGAAAAGATGTTGAGGCATGCGTTAGGGGAACCAATCGACCCATCAAGTTCCATCCGGCTGTCGTGTCCCCACTCTGCCAGCGTCACGTAGCGTTAGCGTTCAACTGGATGTGTAGAAATGCGTCCACGGCGATGGAACGCAGGGGCGAGCCCCAGGCGTAGGAGAATAGCCCGAACTGCCAATGCCGCTCATTTTGCCTGAGAAAGGACTAAAAGCGGAGGTACCCCCCCCCGGAAGATTCCTGGTACTCATTTCTGTTAGAGGCTGAGTCGACCCCATGGCCATAGTGCGGCTGGAAGGATTGCGTCAATTGAAAAATTCAATAACCTCATCAGAAATCGAACCCGAGACCTTCCGGCTTGTAGCATAGTGCCTCAACCAACTACACTACCGCGTGCCTCCATAAAAGCGACGTTGCAGATTTTTAATCATCATGAACCAAATCTTTTATAAGTCAAATAACTTTTGTCAATTAAATACTCGTACATTATTGTTGGGCCCTATACAAGTTTGAGTCCCTTTTGTGTACCGTGGCATATTTACTCAGGGCAAGAACTGTGAACCTAACAGAGACAGCCGTTTGTTAGGAAACGTCCCTGCAAACACGCCCGTTACTAGGCAACAGATTCGTATCACGCAACAATGGATTAATTAAGGAGCGATGTTCTCTACGCGGTCAGTGCCGAGGCTACATAAGAAGTCGATTGTGCGTTGTGAGTGAGGAGTCAAGCATACGACCGTTCAAGTGAGTGGACTGTCGTAGCGAAAGCTACTAGAAATAGGGCATAATCTGCTGTACTGAGCCTGGACTAACAGAGACCTGTATATATTTTACATACATTTATTTACATGTTTAACATGTAAAATGTAAATATTCTTTACATTATGACAAATGACTTACTACTGCAGACAATGACTGTGACAAAAGACAGACCCGTCCTATCGTCAGAAAGGGCGCCCCACAGAAACAAGACCGAAACTGTCAAACAGTAATACATACGTGGTTATAAGCCACAGACTGGGCTCGGCACCAAGACTGACTGACTGACTGACCGTCAGTCGCAATGTGACTTTGACTTTGACTTGTGAGTAAGGTCAGCAGTTGGTAACCAATTAGTTTAGGTCAGGAGCTACAGTTGAAAGATGCCAGCCGCTGGAGACGGAACCCGAGGACGGTAAACTGTTGGAAGCCGCTACCAAGCAGCGGAGTGAAGACCGTGACAAAGAACACTTGTCTGAGTGTAGTAGTGATTTATAAAGTGTAGTCACGAGTTATTTAAGGGTTCAGTAAAGCTGATTATCAATCCAACCCCGGTCTATATTCACACTCTAGCACGTGACAGTGTTTTGTCTTTGACTCGCTGGTTAAAAGGTCCAGCCTAGTGACCAACATTGTCTAATATTGCGAATGAAAGATAAGATGGAGTCCCTGTGCTTAACCTAGCATCACAGCACTAAGAAGTGTGAGGAAGCTAAGGTTCAGTGCCACATATTCTGAACTTGGGCGCCAGGATATTTAATGAATAAGTAGGCCATGGCGGCTTGACTCCAATTAGTCTTCTCATCGCAACTGTACAGCCCTCGATACTGAGAACACATTAAAATACCCCCACCACTCGCTGGCGGCGATTAACTTCATGTCCGGGCTACTTCACCCATGATGATCGAACTCCGGTACCTACCGAAACCAAGTATGTCACACAGACGGTTTGGAGGCTGTGGTGAAGAGAAAAATACGTGTCACTACCGGGAAAATATTCTGGTTTCCCAATCTTTCAAAATCCTTAGCTTCATCAAATAATTTATTTGTTTATTTTTTAAAGCGTCCTACTTTATTTTCGCCCATTGCCACATTTGGAAGTAAACACCCCGGAACATGTTTATGAACCACTCTGTAGCAAATGAGAGACAAATACGGAACTAAGAAGTGCTCGTGTTGCAGCGTCATATCGCGGGTGGCTGAATAATTTATTGCTTGTTTTAATCGCCACAATTAATGTGTATATTTACACTGTTTACATCGCGTGCCGGCGTTTTGGGCCATAATCATTTCTAGATTAACCTTTATTTTCTGATATTTCATCCCTTGACATCTTTTACAACAAGGTCAATGCACAAGAACAAAGAAAAAATCGAAGAGCATAACAACGCATACCTATAGATAGTAGTGGAACATAACCCGAATTTCAGGCACAAGATTATAATACGAATTCAACTTTACAATGACCAGAACACAAGGGAAGATAGCGACATAATTCGCAAGACCGCCGCATTATAAAGGAAATAGGCACAAACCACTACACAAGACTTTAACATTTTAACCTGTGTGTTAGGTGGGTCCCTTGTCACCACGGCATGGCGCGTCCTCGGGTTGCGGATAGAGGAGACGCCGTGTAGGTATGAAGGAGAGCTGCGAATATATTGAATAAGCAGTCGCGGACAGCCGATAATGAGTGGTTCTCCAGTTTGGGGGTTGCGCGTGAGGCTAACAACCCAACGTAAAAGTAAGTTTGTTACGGAAGATCACAAGAAGCCTCGGACCTGGGCGGATTCTATGGACAAACGGCCTAAGGCAAAGAAAATGGATATGAGATTTGGTATTTGGAAAGTTAGGAGTGTGTATAGGGCATGTTCGTTCAGGACGGTGTTATTAATGGAGCTCTGGAAACTATTGGAAAGAATATAAAAATGTCTGCCAAGGAGAGTCTAGGTTATTATGAACTGAAGAAACATAATCCATGATTCGAAAAAGGCTGACCAGAATTACTAGACCAAAAAAATAAGCTAAATTGAAGTGGTTACAGGATCCAAGTGAGTTAAATGGGGATAATCTGAACAATATAAGACGCAAAACCAGCAGGCATTTCAGGAACAAATGGAGGGGATATCTGAAAGACAAAATTGATGAGCTTGCAATGAACAGTAAGAACAAGAACATTAGAGACCTGTATAGAGGAATAAATGACTTTAAGAGGGGTTACCAGCCTAGCAGTAACTTAGTGAAGGATGAGAATGGTGATCTGCTTGCAGATTCCCACAACATTTTGAATAGGTGGAGGAACTACTTCTCTCAGTTATTGAATGTACACAGGGTAAGTGGTTAGGCAGACAGAAATACATAGAGCTGAGCCGTTAGTACCCGATCCCAGCCCTTTTGAGGTTGAAAATGCTATTGCAAAATTGAAACGGTATAAATCGCCAGGTAGCGATCAAATTTCGGCAGAAATTATTGAAGGAGGAGGCTAAATATTACGTTCTGAGATCCATAAACTAATTAATTCTAAGAATTAATTAGTTTATGGATCAACCATCCTGCATAATTCGTATATAAGCAGCACCTTTCACATCCTATCACTACAGCTACTGCTCTCTGCATTCCAAGCCATTCAACTGCTCTGAAGATGGGGGCGCTACGTTCCTCCGAAACGTCGGCCAAAACGAAGAATACACGGTGCCTAAACCCAGAAGACGATTTTCTTCATAGTCATCGCC